CTACTACTACTACTACTACTACGCGTTCTACTACGACTACTACTACTATTACTACTACTACTACTACTACTACTACGCGTTCTACTACGACTACTACTACGACTACTACTACGACTACGACAACGACGACGACGACTACTACTACGACTACTAGCACTATTACCACCACCACCACCACTACCACTACTACTACTACCACCACTACAACTACTACTATTACCACTGATACTACTACTGCCACCACCACCACCACCACCACCACGACGACGACTACTACTACTACTACTACTGCTACTACTACTACCACTACTACTACCAGCAGTACTACTAGTACTGCATTTACGGTCACCATCATTATTATTATTATTTTTCGGCCACTGGATCCACGAAACTGCGCAATAGTTGATTTCCTGACATGCAGGTTTCTGACTTTATTTACATTTGTTATTAGTGTTAGTACGACTACTAATAATGTTAGCATTATCACTACGACCATTACGTTTGTTATTCCATTATCTCTTATTATTAATGTCACTATCACTCTGACTGTTCTTGTTTCCATCAGTATTACCAGGAGTGTTACTATGACCACTATTAGCACAATTGCTTGAAATTATTATTACTATTATCATTACTTCATAAATTATTGTAGCTTTTGTTATTATAATTGTTAACCATTTGTTATGATTCATTGTTTACTGGTAACGGTTAACGTTGACTTGTTTACCATTGTCCCCTTTTATTACCCATTACTATCACTATTACTATTACTGTTTCTATTGCTATTGTTATTGCTATTGCTATTGTTTTTGCAACTAAACCACACATTTTACAAGAGATACCGTTCACGATGGCGGAACTGGACTCAGCCATCGGCAACTTGAAGTCGAACAAAGCTTGTGATGAACGTGGGTTGGCAGCTGAGCTTTTGCATCACGCACCTCCTGCATGTCGTGAGGTATTGTTAGATCTTGTCAACCACATTCTTGCTACGGGCGATGTTCCATTTTCGTGGCAAGGAACGCTGTTCAAGATGTTGGCTAAATCAACGAAAGCCAAGCTGGTGACGGATTATAGGCCTATAGTCACGTTGCGGTTGTTGCATAAAACGTTTTCCTACCTGGTATTGTCGCGGATCGAGGGGATATTAGAGGCTGGCCAACCTGAAGAGCAGCATGGTTTCAGACAAAACCGACGTTTGGAAGAACATTTGCTAACGACCAATATGATCATCGATACATCCCGAGCTGTTGGTTTGCCTATATGGGTGCTGAGCCTAGACCTTTCAAAGGCCTTTGACCGTACACTGGAAAGCGCTATGGACAGTTCTTTGCGATCGCGGAATGTCGCCACACATGATTTGGATAATACCGCGTTTATATTCGGAGCAAGTTGGTCAAGTGACGACGCCGACTGAATCATCGAAGGAATTTCCCATTGGAGCTGGGGTTCGCCAAGGTTGTATGTTGAGCCCTCGTTTGTTTTGCGCCGTGTTGGAGTGGGCCATGCGTAATTGGAAACAAGCTGGGCAACATTTTGGGATCCAGTTACAAAGACATTCTCAAGCATTGACGGATCTCCGCTTCGCCGACGACATTTTGTTGTTCGTGCTTTCGCTGCAACAAATTCTGGAAATGTTGAGATCATTGGTTTCATGTTTGCGAAAAGTTAGTTTTGGTATTGAATGCTTCGAAAACCAAGTGGTTAATGACGACCCAAGCTCAGCCAGCCGATCGAGTTTGGCTCCATGCAGACATTTACATTGAAGTCGTTCATGGCAGTTCCTCTCACAAGTGGTTGGGCGGTCAGTTGTCTATGGATGGTGACCAAACCGCAGATATTGCATTTCATCTCCATGCAGCTGCACGTGCATTCTGGGCGAACAGATGGGTTTTATGCGATAAGCATGTTCCATTCTCACTTCGGGTCAATTTTTTCGAGGCCGTCGTGACGCCGGTGGCATGTCTTGGCGCAGGGCATCGTAAAATTTCACAGCCGCATCTCCGCAAGTTGGATTCCGAGAGGCGACGATTGCTTAGAAGTATGGTTGGACCACCTTCGGGGTTTGATTCGTCTATGCCCTGGCATGAAGTACTACACAGTTGGAATCAGCATGTCCAGCAGATGACTCGAACCCTACAGTTGCCGGGCTGGTCTTGCACATGCCTCGTTTCGTATTGGAATTTAGCACACCATGTGACAAACTTGCCAGCGGACCGGTGGGTTAGACGTGCAATGAGCTGGTTTCCGAATGGAGCGCGAATTCCTGGTAGACCTCGAAACACTTGGCAATCGCATCTCGAAGCTGCCGCGCGCTTTTCTGGAATTGACAGCTGGAATGAGTGTGTCAGCAACTTTTTCGATGTCGCGCATGATGCTTTCTTGGATTTTGTACAGTTCTGAACACAATCATGAAATTTAAACGGGTTTTGTTCAGAATGAAGCTGACGTTGACGTGATGTCATACTCAACCGCAGTTTGACACAGTGTCGGATTCTGTATAACTGCAGGGTTGCGTTCTTTTGCCTGCTCCTCCAAGAGGCCGCCTTATGGAACGCTTGACTTGACTTGACTTGACTTGACCTGACTTGACCTGACTTGACCTGACTTGACCTGACTTGACCTGACTGGACCTGACTTGACCTGACTTGACTTGACCTGACCTGACCTGACCTGACCTGACCTGACTTGACGTGACTTGACGTGACTTGACCTGACCTGACCTGACCTGACCTGACCTGACCTGACCTGACTTGACTTGACTTGACTTGACTTGACTTGACTTGACTTGACTTGACTTGACTTGACCTGACCTGACTTGACTTGACTTGACTTGACTTGACTTGACTTGACTTGACTTGACTTGACTTGACTTGACTTGACTTGACTTGACTTGACCTTTGCTACTATTATGTTAGTCACCATTACGAGTAACCTTATTAAAACGATGATTATTTCTATGTCTATTAATATTTTTGTTGATTAGTTATTATTACTATTACTCTTACCGTTACATGTACGATTACTATTACCATTACCGCTGTTATTGGTATTGTTCCTTCTTTACTATTAGTACAAGTTGTGCAAACCAAAAATGTTGTACCATTACCCGTAAGGGCACTACTACTCGTACTGGTGTTATTGGAATTATCACTTCAAACATTGTTGCTATTATTAATATTTCTAGTGCATGTATTTTCTTCATTGCTACAATTACTACCATTCCTCGTGTCGCTAGTGAGCCGCTAGTGTTGCTATTGCCTTCATTCAAAATTTCATTACGATTAGTATTGCTGCTAGTATTACCTTTTCCACATGTGTTGTCACTACAAACACGTCTATTGTCATGATTATTATCACGATCGCCATTGCCATTACTGTTACCATCACTGATACTACTACTACTACTACTACTACTACCACCACCACCACTAATACTATTGGTGCTGCTGCTGCTGCTGCTGCTGCTGCTACTACTACCACTACCACGACGACAACTTCTAGTGCCACTATCACTACCACGATTAGTATCACTTTGACTAGTATTTGCTCCTCGCCCTTACCATTATTTTTGTTACCATGACGTTTGCTGTTACCTGCTGTGTAATATGAACTATGAACGATGAGTTATGAACTTCCACTATTGCTATTAGTAGTAATACTTACTATTACTCGTACAATTCTTTTTAGAGGGTGGAACGCCCTCACGCATTCTTGCAGCAGTCGTTGAAACAATGAACCGACCTCACCACGCTAATACCAAATGATGATTAAGACTACAGGTATCCGAGTCATAAAGGTTTACAGTATGGCCGCACTGAATCCAGAACATATGGTCTCAGCATGCAGCCACATATGGTTTCTCAGAAGCAGGTATTTTACGTGTGTGTGTGTGTGTGTGTACCGTATCCCATTTAACTATGTAGGCTTAACTGGCACTGTTTATGGAACTTTCGAGCCAACATGTATGTAAGTTTTACGCACATCAACCCTACAGTCTGGGCGAACCAGACTTCCAGTTTTTGAGTATTGCTGTTCCAGACCAACTTGACATCTTAACTTCGAGCCTGAATGTTGTGGGGTGTGTGCATACATATCATACGATATCTTCCAACTC